TTCATGCCCGCCGCCCTGGGCCCGCTCGGCGCCGCCGCCCCGCCCCGGCCGGCCCCCGCCGCGCCGCCGCCGCCGCTCCAACTTAGGCTCTTCCCGCAAACAAGGGCGGGGGCTCCGCGCTCCGACCGCGGATGCTGCATCCCGCCCGGCCCCGCGCTCCTCCTGCCATGTTCCGCCGCCGATCGCCAAGTCCCGGGGAAGAAAAATAAAAATAAAACGAAAAGAGGTTCTTTTAAATTCCCTTCTCGGGCTCTCAGACAAACTATTGGGAAGAGGCGGCCGCGGCGGCGCTGCCAGCCAGACGCTGCACGGCTCTGACGGAGGCTCTCCCCCTCCCCGTTGCCTCCGCCGTAACCTCGCCGGAGCCTATCGCAATCTTTTGTGCGGTGTCACCGCCCTCCGTTTAAACGCTGCCCTCCCCCCCGCCGCCCCGCTCCCCGCCCGTCGCCTCCCGCTCCTCCCCGGCGGAGGGGGCAGCAGCGCCGTGCCGCGACGGCGCCGCCCGCGCCAGGCACCGGCCGACGGCAGCGCCGACCGCGACGGCCTCGAGGGCCGCCGCTCCGTATGGCGCCCCCTCGCGGCACGCGGCGAGAGCGGAGGGCCGAAGTAAATGAATACCGCGCGTGGCGGAGAGCAGCCGTCGGGCGGGAGGAGGTGGGGATGGGAGCGGAGGGACGGGCGTGGGCCGGTCATCTTCCGGTAGCAGCCGCGTTGTGGGGTGAGTTGGCCGTATGCGGCTCAGGTGCGCGGCCTGGGGGGTGAGGGGGGGAAAGAGGACGGGGGGGGGGCAGCCGTGCTCTGGCTTCCTTTTCTTCCGTTTGCTTTAAAAGTCTTATGTTTTGCTAGCTGTAATCGGTGGTATAAACATCGTTACGCTTTTATTTGCACATAAATATTGCCTTTAGCTGCTTGTAGCATGAAACGAGACTTAAAGCACGGTTTTTTTTTTAACCATGGGAAATGAATTTGGTGTCCCTGTTCGAAGGTCGCCTGCCATTGGTTAGAATGGAGCAGGGAGAATGTAGTCTTCCTGACGTTTACTTTGTGCATGGGAAGCCCTGAAAAAAGCACTTTCTTTGCCTGTTTCTGCCCTGGAGTGCACTGGGAGTTGCATTGATGTTAATGGGAGGGTGCTGGGCTCAGGGAGTCTGAGGCAGACAAGTAAATGCCATTAAATAATTAAGTGAAAACTACTAAGTATGCTGGAATGAGTTTTAGGAAGATGGGCTTAACATTCCCTGGAAGGTGTCCATGGGGAATGAATGTATCATTTGGTAAACGGTGGTGATGAGAATATTGATGTCACACACATGAGGCTTTCTGCTGTCGTGCAACATCCCCATCAAAATAACCCAAAAGAATGAGTCCATGTTGAATCCATATTTTGCATTTGTTACGGATCCTTCTGCGGCCAAATATCAATGCTCTTTCTCTCCTTTCATTCAGGCTTTCCAATTCTGGCAGTTGGTTACATACATATAGCAGGCAGCATGCATCCGGAATATATTTGTCCCAGCTTATATTTACACAAAGTCCTGCTATGTTCATACTGTTGCAGGGGTAGGAGTGACACTGCTGTGAATGGAAGTTAGACCTGCAGGACCTTGCAGGCCAAAACCAGTGTCACCCTGGCACAAGGAGAGCCCACCTAATGGCATACTTTTTAAGATCTCCAAACAAGTACAAATAAGTACATTTCCTCACCCACTGCCTAGAGGAGTCCTTGGCCTTCTCTGCTCACACTGAGCGGGAGGAACACGGTTCTGGGAGAGGTAGGGTTAACAGGATGCATGCTTTGTGGGGTGGAGGGGAGCCCTTATTGTAGAGCCAGGATAGATGGAAGGGCAGATAGGCAGCTGTGGGTGTGTTGAAAATGGGCAGTTCTCCACCCATCTCTCCTCGCAGTAACAGCATGAGGGAGATTCTGTTTACCTAAATCAGATTATAGCAGTTTAATGGAAGGTCACAATTTGGGCCTAAACAATTTCGGTTTGCTGCCAACAGCTCATTTTCAAAACTATAAATAGGAGTGATTTCAGAATACTCTGACAAATAAAAGTCAGTGGGCAGCAGAAGCCAGCTGAATTGCATTGCAAAATATTTCCAGATATGTCCTTCAGTGAGGCAGTGAGAAATTATGTAGCATGAGGAATGCCTTTCATAAGAATATTAACCTAGTTTCTTTTAACGAGTAGTGACTACATTTAATGAGAGTTTGAGTATTTCATTTTAGAAACCTTTGGTCTCGTGCCTGGCTAGAAGAGGTGTTAAATGACCTAATAATCTTCTCCATTTTTAGATGCTGCCACAGGAGTCTCCATATGGTTTGTGTCATTGCCCCAGGACAAAAGAGACATCCAGGATTTGGACAGAGTTTCTGCTGCTGTTCTTCCAAAGCCTCCATCCCAGCTGCTCACATCAGAAACAAAGCGAGGCCCTAACCCTTGGCAATTCCTAGCAGCAGAAAGGGCCACCAGAGCTAGCGGTTAGTAAGGAGTAACCACTTAAATATAAAGCAAATATTCCTCAAGCTTCTTCAATCTGTTCAAAGGATTGTTGTACTGCTTACCAGCCTTGGTATTAGCAAGGGGCAAAATTGGTCATTACTGTAATTTGGTCAGTTGCTTGACTCCAGATTCGTCTTACCAGACGTCATTTTGCTCCTGTAGTAGCCTCAAGTGTTCTGTTCTTCTGTATATATGTAAATATATGATGAAGAGTGACCCAGCCATCTCATTTGGCTTGCATTTTGGAAATAGAAAATAGAATCATAGAGGTTGGAAGGGACCCCTGGAGGTCCATCTCTCTGCTAAAGCAGATTTCCTGGAGTAGGTTGGTTGTGTAGGAAAGCATCTGATTCTGTGTATCTCCAGAGAAGGGGACTCTACTACCTCTCTGGGCAGCCTGTTCCAGTGCTCTGTCACCCAAACAGTAATGAAGTTTGTATGAAACTGCCTATGTTCCTGTTTGTGCCCATCGCCCTTTGTCCTGCTGCTTGGCACCACTAAGAGCCTGGCTCCATCCACTTGACTTGACTCACCGTTATAGGTAGTCTTTTTCAGTATTATCACTAAGTGGCAGGAGTAAGCCCTTGGCTATTTTTGGTGAACCTGAGTAGGTAGCACGATTATGAAATGCATTGTGAGAACAAGCTTCACATTGTTTAAGAAAAAGAAAAAAAAAAATCTGTGCTGTAAGGGATGATAGGAGGAAGGAGGGGTAGGAACCACTTATGCTTGTCTTCAGTATATCCATAACTAACCGGTTCTCTTCCGCCCTTCATGTAGTGACACTCTAGTGAAAAACTGTTTCCTTCTGTTACTTTTATACAATTTGCAGGCCATTATTTGACCATAAACACATAACCTTACTGTAAATGGGAGCCTTGAAGACAGATTTGCTTGTGTCTAGTAATTTGAGTAGCACTGAGGAACAGCTACAATATGCCTTAAAGGCCCAGCAGATGTATCTGCATTGTTCAGGATGAAAATTTTACTCAGTGATTTTCGGGGTGGGTATTTCTTAAGTTCTTTGCATGTCTCTGGGAGGACTTGTGTATACCTGCTTGATTTCATGGCTGCTGAGTTCAAAAATGCCGTGCAGGACTTGGGCAGCCATGAATTAGTGTACAGACTGAGGAGACATGAAAATGAGGAGATAGGCTTGGCTGTAGAAAGATTTTTGCTGTCAGTCTGAATGAAATAACACTGTGGGACTGGAAACAGCAGGCACTGTCAGATAGAAAGGATTAAAAGGCTTTTTAGCGTGGCTTAGTAGTGTACAGAAGATTGGCTTACTTGTGATAGATCTTCTTTTGTCGCATTGATCTTTATTTCGCATTGTGCTTAATACAACAAAAACTGGAGTCTGACGTATTCTTTCATGAATCGTCTCACACAATGTGTGCCTTCTATTACTTACAAAAATCTTTTTTTTTTTTAAGAAATTGATTTTTTTTTTTTTTTTTTTTTTGCCACTATAGCCAATGTTGAGTCATAGTTGAACAATACGGAGTTGTAATAATTTTATGATCACTGTATGTGGCCATGTTGATGAGAGGAAGGCTATGATAGAATGAGCTACACTACTTTATATTACTTTCCTGTATGGATGTATCGATCTAACATAATAGGGAGCTAGCTGATGAAGGAATAAAAGGCAATTCAATGGTTCCCTGTGTCAGCTGTATGACTAAACCCATGAGGTGGTAATTACAGGATGATAGCTCCCATTCCAGGGGATGCAGCTGGCTTGTCAGGCTGGAAACTAGAAATGAGGGAAGGATGATGTTGGCAGAGGCTGACAAAGGAAATTATTTGACACAGAGCAAGACTTAGCAAGAAAGGCTGGAAGAAGCTGGGCCTTCCTTTTGCCAGCACTGGAGCGGTAGGTATGACATACAGAAGGGAAGGTGTGTGTGTTGACTGGTTTATTGTTTTTAAGATTTATTTTGTCTTAAATGGTTGGTGCTAAGTGTTTTGTGATTGGTGCTTACTGTCTTTACTTCATGAGAGACTAAAACTGCAAGGCCTGGGTCTTTCTTGAATCTGCAGAGGTAATCATGGCTCATACACCGGGGAAGCAACCTGAGAACTGCTCTGCCTGTAGCTAAAGACGACAGTGTGAGATCTGGGGGAACAGTTAGCTGATCTCTTGTGAGAACAAAACGCAAACCCATGAGTTCTGCTTCTTCATCTTTGAGAATGATTTTGTGCTTAAGTAGTTTATAGAACAATGGGCATGCTTTCAGACAGACTTAAGCTTGGTGTTTGGATGTTTTGTTTTTCTTTTTTATGACATAGTTAAAAACACAGTATCTGAAGAAAAAATATTGCATAAATAATGGTAAATATCAGTTATGCCTAAAATACGGGCTAGCTGCTGCAACTGAACGATAATACAGCAAAAGTAGGTTTTATTTTGTTCTCTTCTATTCACTGTTTATTGTACAGCTGTTCTCACCACTTACCATATATAATCAATTGGTTGTCTCCTGCTGCTAATATGGATATTTAGTACATTGAAATTGAAAAAAGACATTTTTTGTGGTAAGGAAAATGCAGCTAAAAAACTTGTCTTTTCAGAGGATGGAAGGTTGTGCCGTGTTTTATGCTAATAAAACAGCTATTAATGGCTTTGTGCTTCATATTCTTGTCTACCATCCACGCATACAGTTATCCACCATATGTCGGGTGTTTTATAAGGTGAGTGCTAGGAGCAGGAGGTGCAACATAGCTGCTTGTGTCCATTCCCCCTCCAGGAGTGGGTGAGCAGCACCAGGCACAGGTTTGTAAGCACTTAATGGAAGAAGGGTAGATGCCATTGGTAAGAGTGGTCTGGCATAAACAGGAATCCCAGACCTTCCCTTCAGTGTCTTTGGTCTGAGGTGTTTGTCTGGCGGTTGTTTTCTTTGTATGTGTTTGAGATCAAAGGAGAATATGGTACTTCAAACAAAATGTGCAAGGGCCCACCCTTCCTGAATTGCACTTTTGATAATATGTTCAGTCCTGCTGCTGTAATACTCCACAGAAGGGTTTTTTCTTTCTTTTTTTTTAATAAACTCCACTCCTTTTTAATATATGTCACAAGAGAATTTTAATAGATGTTTTTGTAAGATTACTTTACAGTCTCTGATCCTACACTTCTTTCCACGTAGTCTGTAAGAGGAGCCAGCAGCTTTAACTCATCAGAAGTTTGTGTGATGTATTACTTACAGTGGATGTAGGTGCCAGAAGTGACCTGTAAACCTAATACTAAATTGGGACTACAAAATTAATTTCACTTAGATTGTGGAGATTAGACTAGAAATAAAATTCCTCTGGGAGCTGTGTAAACCTTGACATTGATTTAATGTAATTCTTTCCTTAAGAGGGTAACTTTAAATTGTATAACAATACATAGTTTTAACCAGCACATATTTCTAGCAAATTGTGCAGCAAGACAAGTATTAACAGGAACATTCAGTGGTATTTCTGAATTTAAAGATCAGTGTGTAGCTCTGTGGATGCTGACAAGAGGGTCAGATGTCATACCCCTCCCTCCTCCTCTGTCCCCCCACCTGATCAGATAGGTCAAGTTATAAAGCCCGTGTGTCATTGCCAAGCATCTCCATTCAGTCCATAAATTGTAATTTATAATATACAAATTATATCCAAATCACACTAATTTACCCTGACTGGGGAGAATTTGTTAACTTGGATCCAGCAATTAAAGGTCTGATTAGCTCCAGAACAAAAATGTTTATTGTGTTACGGAATGGCAAGTGAGTGTTTGTTTTATGCCTTAATTTAGACTGAAATTATTCTGAATCATTCAAATGTTTATTTTTGCTCTGGATGACAGCATATTCTATACTAAAAAGCATATTTTCTTCTTGAGATGTAGAAATATTTTGTTGTTTTTAAAGGGAACATGTATAGGTCTCTTTCTTCAGGTTATTGCCTGAGCAGGCTGTTTGTACAAGTCTGATTTAACATATGCACTGTCTTTGCACGAGAGCTCATGCATTAGATTACATTTGCAAGGGAGAATTTTGAGTACTTAACCTTAATTTCACCTATTAAAACACTAATTTTGAATGTTATACTTTAAGTAACTTGGAATACCCTGACACCCTGTAAAATATTTGACAATGTTTTAAGCAGTAAGAGCACTCTGAATGTTCGGTCATCTCAAATTTGCTTCAAATTTTCTGGCATCTGTTACTGACCAAGTCTTCTGTATTATTTAACATTGTATTGCCATGGTCCTTTGCTAAGCATGTAGGTGCAGAAGCAGTTCTAACAACTGACTGCAATCAGAGTACAGCTGCACACCAGACCTTAATCATTTCAGTTATTCTAAGTAACTGCTTACAGTCTGCCTTCTGCAACACCTCATTCATTTGAGCCACTGTTAAACATTCTCTTGTATGAGAAGAGTTTTTAAAATGAATTACTTCTTCCAGACGTGGAATATGGTGATAGCAGGTAGCCCTTGTGTTCTTCCTCCCTTCTGCATGCTTAGGGCTAATCTTCTGATCTTGTTAGTTTCTTTTAATCTCTAAATTGTCTGTATGTCCTCCCAAGACAGCTCTGCCCTTTCCTTTCCTTGATGATTTCAAGTTGTTTGTTCTTTCCAAGGTTAACTGTCAAGGGACAAGCTTTAAGATCATGCATATTTCCCCTACTGTAGTTATTTGCAAGGAAAAGTAAGCTATGATGAATGAGCATCCACACTAAAATAGAAAATTGCATACGAAAACCTACCACCCCCAAGGACCTGAAAGGGCTTTTGGCAGCTAAAAAAATACGCATGTTCTCCTAACTCATGATAAATAAAGGGACAGGAAGTAAATTTTGCAGAAATACAGTTTGAAAAATTAACACCTACATTTAAAATTTAAAAAAAAAAAAAAAAAGGCAACAGGACAGAGAATCCCAAACTTCATTAGCAGAAATTTAGGACAGCTTGAATCTTCTCAAATTGCAACCTGACCCAACCATGTGAAAACATTTTACATCAAGAGGGGGAGGTAGATTTGCACTTCTTATTGAATTGTAATGTTATCTTTGAAAATACTAAGATAAAAATCGTATGTTTTAGAAGATGAAATGACACCTACAGCTTGAAACATCTCCTGACGTGACAAATGGGGCTTTCAAAATAAAGCAGTGAACACTTTGTATTTGCAATTTACAATGACAGTAGCCATTTGTTATCAGGTATGTTCTGTACTGTAACCATAATAGTGTTAGCTGCTAAGACTATGAAAACTTGTAAGGAATATAAGAATGCTTAAGGAAAAAAAAAAAAAACCATTTTTATGTGCATCTATAGATGCTTTGAATGAAACACATCATGTTTCAGTGGAAAAAAATAATTCAATTTTATTTCAGTGTGAGTGATATGTATTTCTAGCTGTGTGGATTTTTGTTCTTGTACAGGAAAGAACAATGGAGTATAAAGAGAGGCTGAATAAGTGTTTGAACTGCAGCTGACTCTGTGGAGAGCATATGTACTTTAAACAAGTTCTTCCTGAGCACAGAACGCTGCTTAGTAGTTGCAAATTTAGAAGTAAGCATGAAAAACCCTCCTTTCAAGTTAAAGCTTTTATATGCATGACAGATACATAGGATTGTTTGGTGCCATGCTGGAAAGCTGTACGACTTGTTCACTTAACAAAGGAAATTAGATTACTCCTTAGATCTGCATGTGTATGTCGCACCAGACATTAATGAATGTCAAGTTGGCCTGGTTTGCTCTAATAACAGAAAACAGTTGAAAATATTTCCCAGTAGAAATTCAATAAAAATGTATTTTTATACTGCTTAGTCCAACATTCCTAAAATTGATATATTTTTTATTTTAGTGAATTTAAGCATGATCCAATAATAACAAAGTTAGCAGGAACATACTTCACTAAAACCTCATAGGGATGTGGGATGTAGTGTATATATATATATATGATATTTGTTATACCCAATGAGAAGGCACTGAGCAAATGTGCTCGTTAGTGACTTACTGGACAGCTTTGTGAGAGGCACTTGACTAAAATCCTGTTCCAGTTATTGTATATTTAACAAGCTCCATGAATAGCTATGGCCTAACAGCTTCCTGTTTCTCAACCGTACTGGTGGTGTTTCTGAAACATAATAAAACAATAATCTGCAGGATGGAGGTTGCAGAGAAGGGTGGTTGCTTATCGAGGCACTGCAGTCTTGCCTCCCATCCCCTCCACTGTTTGCTGAGGCTTGGAGACTCCGTTTTTTCTACTGCACGAGCCCTTGGCAGCCATCTCCCATCAGGGCCTTAATCCTTTCAGAAGTCCTGGATGCAGAAAGCATCCCAAACCCACACCCCTGCCTAATTAGTGCTGCTGTTCTGTGCCAGCAGCGCAGTGGGCTCCTGCTTTGCCTCAGGCCTGGATGCAGTGACAGAACTGCGCTGGATGTTCGCTGGGTGGAGTCCATCCCGCTGCCGCGCTCTGTACCAACCCTGCGGTTACTCTCATGCTTCCTTCTGTTCCCGTGTTCGAGCTTACTGGAGTCCATGTCCCAAAGGCAAAAGCTTGCGATATTTATAATTAAGTGACTTGTATTGAGGAAAGAACGAAGGCTTGAATAGGCCTATAGAGATGTTAATCTGTGGGATCCGTTTGGATAATGGAAAAGTGGAAAAATAGTATCTACAAAGAAAAAGTCGTGTGCGTGTGGTGCTCAGGTGCTCTGGAGTTATACTTTACTGAAAGCAGCTTTATTTTTAGATCTTCCAATAAAAAACGGATGTTGCTGAGATAGGATTAGAAGACAGCGCCGCGGGGCCGGTTCCCGTCACAGCCATCGATGCACACAGCTCCTCGCCATCCCCTTAACAAGTAAGAACAAATGCCCCGCTCTCTATTCGGGAGCTGGTCCGTGGCACAGCACCGAGCCATTCCGCAGCCGGAGCCGCGCAGCCCTCCGACCACCCGCTCCCCGCTCCCCCCGCCCTCGCCGCCCGTGTCTGCAGCCCCTCCTCCCCGCGCCCCCGCCCCTTCACGCGGCCGCGCCGCCCTCCTTCCCCTCCCGCCTGCTACCGGACAAGATGGCGGCGGCCGCGCGTTGGGCCGCGTTGGGTCTGGCGCTATGGCTGTGCGCGGCGGCCCGCGCCGAGGAGCCGGAGGGGAAGCGGCGGGCGGGGCCGGCCAAGAAGAAAGACATTCGGGACTACAACGACGCGGACATGGCCCGGCTGCTGGAGCAGTGGGAGGTGCGGGGCGGGGCTGGGGGCCCGCGCTGGGGTCTCCACGTTCGGCCGGAGGAGCGGGCGGCTCTTCCCAGGCATGGCCGCGGCCTGGCGGGGCGGTAGGGCTGCCCGGGGGTGCAGGCGACTCTGTGACAGCAGGTCGCGGCTGGGGTTGCCGGAAAGGAGGAGCTCCGTGCGCGGGAGATGTGGGGCGGAGGGGCAGCTGCGCGAGGCCGGCGGTGAGCTGTGCCGTAACGTGGAGTGGTGCGGGTTTCTCCCTGTAGAAAGGTGTTTTCTTGGAAAATGGAGACAGTGTTTAAAGGAAACGGCTAAAAAGCTAAAGTTCACCTTTTATTAATCAGGCAAGAAGCAGATAGTCCTGGCTGCTAAAAAAAAAAAAAAAAAAAATTATTGTAGTGGGCAAATTCAGCTTAATTTGGCATAGTAGGGCAAATCATAAAGGAAAGGTTGTCTGAGGTGGTGAGTTCGTTGCTTGGACAGAAGGGTTGGTGCCTCTCGGGCTCTCCTGCTTCATGTTCTGTGCCAGCTGGGTGGCCAGCAGCTCTGCTCTTTTCCCTGTAGCTGGAGGTCTCTGTTTCACTTCACAGAGTGCTGCACGATTGCTCGCAGACGTACTGTGTGCAGCTGTGGCTGGGCAGCTCGGCTTGGCATTGCAGCCGAGGAGGTGCATGAATAGCCATGTGAGCAACAAGTTAATGGTAGTGGGAGCTCAACAATTCTGATGGTCGGCTGTGTGGCATTTCTCTAGTAGCTGTTGGGATGCCTACAGGGGACTGGAAAGACTTGAGGGTGGGGTGGATGGAGCATAAAGAAGAAAGGGCTTAATTGGCTTGAAGGGGTGGGAGAAGAGAAACAAAGGAGCTGTTATGGATTTGGATAAGAGCAGGAATTATGCTCGGGAGTGAGGGGGCATAGGGCACGGATCTGTGCAGAGCCAAGTTTCCTTGGTTTCAGTAGATTAAGACTCCTAATATTTTCTATTTTTGTGGTCATAAGGACAGAAACTACATTTCCTTATGAACAATTTTTGTTAGAGACTTCGTTGCAATCTTCAGTGTTTTAAAAGCTTGTTTAGATAGCACCAAAGTGGGAGCAAACAAACTTATAATGAAAATCTCTCCAGGTTTCTGAGTGCCCTTTCAGCAGGCTGGAACAGTGCGGGCTTGCCAGTGTTAAAGGGTTTTAATATTGAAGTCTTGTTGATCCAAGGCGCATCAGTAAGGGAGCTTCAGCTTATACAACTTACAGCGCTTGCTGTATTCAGTCACTGCTTTTGTTAGAGAGGTGAAAGGATAGGAAAAGTGCAGTTGGTTTCTGCCATGTAGAGATTTCTTTTCGTGGTAAGGGCCTCTCCAGCAGCCTTGAGTCCAGAGGAGGTGGAAACAGAACAACTCCTGGACCAGGTTCTCAGCTCTGTTATTAAAACAACATATTCTTTAAAACAGATTATTACTCAGGCTTGAATCTGAGCTATGGTTATTTAATGGACTATGGATGTGGATGGCATATGTTGCAGATCCTTTTAAAAATCCTTTTAAAAAAAAAAAAAAGATCCTTTTAAAAAAAAAAAACATCCAAGATGTTGGTGAGAGAAGTTTAGGAGATGAGGTTGAGAGAGAAGGAACGGGTTGCTACTGTATGTAATGCTTTGCTGTTGAAGCCTCACATTAGCATTTAAATGAATTAGTCTGCTAGATGTTGCAAAGCAAAGGGTTACACTTTTCTTTCTGTCCTTTACTTTGTAATTAACTTGATTAATAAAAATGTGATAGTTTGTGCAGGATCATCAAGGGAAGTGACTTGTAGCGGATCTTTTGACCACTTATTTCAATTGAAGCTTTAGTAATACTTCTTTATGGATGTTTGGTTGAATAGTTAAGGGTAAAATAGGTAATATATTATCATCATGTTGAGGTTGTAGTCAATTTCTGTGTTGAATAGGGAATATTTGTAAACATTGTTTCTGCCTTTCTGTTTCAAAGCTGTGGAATATGTTGGTTTTGTGCTATTCCTGCTATCCAGACTGGTAGAAAGTGCGGTTAATAATTCGCTCATCCATGTTCAGAACATTTATGATTGAATTGTGTGAGATTCTATATTTAAAGGTACATGGTGTGCTTAATAAAATTCCATGAAACTGAAGGAAAAGGTGTTATTTTATGAAGCACCTAGTGGGTTTGTAGTGGATCAGCCACGAGGATGGAATATTTCTCAGTATATGATAAAATGAGATTTTACCTGCTGGAGTGAGAATGTGCATTGCTCTGAGGAGAGGGTTTATAAGTGACTTATCCTGAGGCAAAGTTCACGGTTTCTTTTCATGCGGGGGTCTCCATCTTCAAACTACTCAGTGCTTTCTTACCAAAGCAGAGTTATTCCCTAAACAGTGGTGAGTTTTTGAAAAGAACGTTTCTTCAACAGTTTAATTTTAACACATCCTTCTTTTCAATATAGAAAGACGATGACATTGAGGAGGGGGATCTTCCTGAACACAAGAGGCCTCCAGCACCAATAGATTTCTCAAAAATTGATCCAGGCAAGCCTGAAAGCATCCTGAAACTGACGAAAAAAGGGAAGACTTTGATGATGTTTGTCACAGTGTCAGGAAATCCCACGGAAAAAGAGACAGAAGAAATTACTAGTCTGTGGCAGGGA